CCCCCCTACACACACACAAATCTAGGTTTCTGATTTAACTCATATAGTACACGGCACACACACACATGGGGCTCCCGTGGCCTAGAGGTTATGGTGCTGGCCTCTCATTCCAAGGTCCGGGTAGCGACCGAAAATATTTCTTCTCTAAAAGTATCTCCTTTCACCTCCTTTCCTGCTCTCTAGCAATGTTCTGTCGTCTGCTTTCGTCTCCTCTTTCTGACCCGACCCCTCACCTCCTCTGCCCCCTTCTCTGGGCTTCTGACTCTTTCTTCTACTACTACCCCTTGGCTCCTTCTTACTGCTGTGTTTCAGCCACGCCCCTGATCTTCTGGTAGGAAAGATCTACACATAGCCTTCTCGGACAAGGGCGAAAAATCTCGGAGTTCCCGTTTGCAAGTTGCGCACGTTAAAGATCCCTTGGTGGTCTAAAAATCGATAAGAGTAGGCTTCGGCCGCCACCCGGGCAAAATTCAGAATTTCCTACCTACTGAAAAAGTTTAATGTGTCTGCGCGCTCATATGACCTTATGCAGTTGCGAGCGCCGTAAAACACTCACAAAAACAAAACAACAACAACAACAACAACAACAACAACAACAACAACAGCAACAACAGCAACAACAACAACAAACCCGTTCAGCTGACTCGCGGGTGGTTGAAGGGCGCCACTGGTACGTCCTCCTTCGTTACTTTCCCTGTTGTTTCTGCCTTTTTGTATCACTTTTTCCCCAACACTAAGTGACCACTATTGTGTCGACGTGCTTCTCTTTTCACGAACAAACTAACAAACAAGCAAGCAAACAAATAAACGAACAGTCAGCTGACTCACAGCATCGCTTGATTGTTTACAGCCGTACTAAAAATCCACTAAACCTAAGGAAATTTATCTTATCGGTTATCAAACTGTACGTTTACTTCTTGGATCATTCATTTCCATGCAGATTGGTGTTTAATTCAAGCAAATTGGTTAAATAGGAGCGGAGTTATTGGGGAACTTTACACGCTGAAAAGTTAGGTGATGACATTGCGAACAAAGGAGGAATAGCTTTCCAACTACTTAAAGTGAAGCTTCTGAATTTGAAGGGCCAAATGAAAAATAGGATATGTCCATCTTTAGAATAATTTTAATATGAAATCAACCAAGGTAAGTCCAACTAAGTCATTCACAAACTGTATTTATTTAAAAAGCAAATCAAGTTCAGATCAAGTCAAGTCCACCATTTTTTTAAAAAGTGAAAAATAGTCTTAGTCGTCAAAGTATGATTCGTTTGATTTACTCTGTTTTTCCACAGGCCCTTTCAATTATTTTATGCACACTTAAAAAAAGGCTCCATCTCAGAACGCTCTGAAAACAACCGCTGGCGAACGCTACTGCTACGCATGAAACTTTAGTCGTGCACACACACACACACACACACACACACACACACACACACACACACGCACACACGCACACACACACACACACACACTACGGACGCACACGAGCAGGCACACTCG